TATATATATATATATATATATATATATATATATATATATATATAATATGTATATAATATTAAATAGCGATACAAAGTATTCCATATTACTGTTACCAGGATCATATTAATGCAAATAGTTTTAATATTAGGGAAACTATTATTTTTGGTGAGACCCTTTCACCAAAAACAATTTCAATTTTTTATTCAGATTTAATATTTGGTAATTAATATTAACCAAAATAAGTATAGTATATTTGTATATTGTAGTAGGGTCATAATTAATTGATAAAATAGTACTTTATATTTGTCAGCCATCGATTATAAAATACATTGTGGCCCCTTTCAACTCACGAACCTGGGCTATAGCACCCCCTCCTTGATTCAACCTTAGTCTTTATGATTTCACACTAATAAACTTATGTTATTGTTGCAACAAGCGACAAGATGCAATAATAATATTAATTGTAATTAAATTTAAATTATATAATAAATATAATTTAATCGAGTATGATTTTGATCAATTAAAAAAGTACTAAAAATACTCTGAAACTAATACTGGAACTAGGATACGAAAATATGACTAGATTTTTCAAATGGACTTATGTTAAAATTAAGTATAACAAAACAATCATTACGACAGTCGATAACCATGAAAATATGAAATCTACAAAAATTTAATTTGTCTAATCACACAACAATTTTAAGCGAAAAACAAATTACAAAATACGAAACAAAACTGGATTAACTATGCGTTTAATTTAAAATAAAAAAAATGTTGCAGAATATATCGATAACAGTTAACAACGGTCGCCTCTAATAATAATAATACGCATATCATTGCGTTTGTTTCTCTTTTCGTCCAAATGTGTATATTTCCAACTGGTGACAATGTACCGAACAACGATAAAAGGCGTATACGTGTGTATTTCTGTGTCCGTGAGCGTGCGCGCGGTGTGTGCGTAAGATCGCGCACGAACGCGCGTGCGAGTGCGTGCACTCGAGTGGGTACAAAACGCGTAGAACCGAAGGGATCCCTGGGTCCACGCCGTCATTGGTCAACTCGACTACCACTCCCAAGTGCCCCTATTGGTCGCGTCCCACGTACACACGCGCACGGACGGCACGTCATGCGCGGCACACGAATGGCCCAATGCAAAAACTTACATCACATATTATTATTACTTTGAACTTCACTCGGTTCGAACACGTACGTCGGTGCGTCGCCACAGCCGTTGTCGTAGCCGCAGTGCCGTCGCCGCGTACGAAGTCCAAAACCCGTGGTAAATCGCGTCGTCGTGGTCATCATCGTCGGTCGTGCAAACCTCAACACAATCTCGAATCGACAGCGACCGGAACCCGTAGTTAACATCGCACGGGCTAAACTTTCGCGTTCCTCTCGTCCAACCCCGTGTCGAAGTCGTCGCCGTCTAAGTCACCGCCGCCACCATCGCCGCCACACCACGCTGCGGAACTCGTGTTGATCGTGCCGAAGGAGCAACTCGAATGCTTTAAGTTGCGCGCGTTCAATTTAACCCGCGTTACATGTCCGCCGTCGTATTCGCTTTTTAAATTGCCCTTAAACGAAGTTTATTTAATATATTTGGTCCTCGTGTGTGGCGTCCTAATTCAGCCCATCATCGCTTCAATTGTAGACAATCAACAGAAATTAACAGCGCGCGTCAACCCCCTCCGCTGCAGCAGCTGCCGGGTCACTCGGGCCAATTAAAATCTATACATCCGACGACGCCGCGACCGCCGTCACCGCCACCGCCGCAGCCATCGTCTCCACCACCGTCGACGCTGCCGCGGGCGGAACATACCTATCGATTTCAAATCATCGGTCGCGCGCTTTCCGGCGCCAACGATTCCGCCCCGGGGGGGAAAAGAATCTGCAACGGAGAATCCGACGGGAGAAACGCTTTTCCCCTCGTCCGCACCCGGTGACATGGACGACGGCGCTTTCGACGAGTCGATGATGTTCAACGAGTTCCACCAGAAACCCGGGTCGCCGGCGCACCACCATCAGCACCAGTCGTTGCTGGCGTTCCAGCAACCCGGCGACATGATGGGTTACTCGCTACCGGTGCCCGACCACATGGATATGCACCACCATCATCAGCTGCAAGACATGGACATGCACCGGCACCATCACGGTGGCATCCAAGACCCGATGCAACAGCAGGATAGGCAGCTGCAGATCGGCGACTCGCAGGATATGTTTCAGATTCCGGTCACGTCCACCGCTCAGTCGCAGCCCGCGGACATTGCCGGCACCAACGGGCAAAAGCTCGGTATCAAATTGGAACTGGACGCAAATGCTTTACCGACTGCCTGTCAACAATCATCAGGTAACGCATTGGGCGCCCCAAGCTCTTACCGTACGCTCCCAGATGCAGATCCTCCTTTCTTAGTATTATTTGTACTTTTAGCGCTATGATTACTCCTCGGTACGTTGATCTGTACCGAATGAAATTTCACCGGTCAGTTGTACCGATTCAATGTGTAATAGCTCAACAACAAAAATACGATAATTATTAACTATAGATGAATTATAACTATGATTTCATTAGCAAATTCTCATTAGAATTTTGTTTTTCCCAGTAAATTGAAAAAAAAAATTTCTGTTTTATTTTCAAAATATTAATGTATATGTATACTATTTTCAATTTATAATAATTTAACAGTCATTCACTCAAACCAACCTTCCACCACTGACAATTTGTTTTTTTCTTATTTTTTATATAGGACTACCAACAACCGAACAACCGGCGCCTAAGAAGTCAAGCTCCAAGTCGAAAAATACTGACAACAACGGCACAAAAAAGAAAAAGACTAGGTAAGTTACGAGTTTTTAATTTTCTGATCGACGTAAATTCAACATATATCTGATTACCATTTTTCGTTTAATGTACAGAACCACGTTTACGTCTCATCAATTAGAGGAATTAGAACGAGCGTTTGAAAGAGCTCCATATCCCGATGTGTTTGCCAGAGAAGAATTAGCTTGCAACCTGAAACTCAGTGAATCCCGGGTACAGGTTTGGTTCCAAAATCGCAGGGCCAAATGGAGGAAGAGGGAACCACCCAGGAAAACCGTTTATCTGACCAATTCTGGTAAGTGATTTATTAGTAATATTCGATCAAATATAAATTATTTGAAACTGATTCGTCATTGCCGGTATTATAATATACTAATTCTTATAAATCTAGAACTCACATCGTAAGTTTGCGTTTACAATTTTAAATTTTAAATGTTTTCTGATTAGCTGATATTTTAACTTGTCCCTTAAATATTTTATAAATTGTGTTAAGGATAGAATTGGTAAAATTCACTGACTCCTAACCACATAGTATACAATATAAACCCTCGAAATATTTCAATAAAAAATGTTAATTAAAAGTGTCGAATCATCAACAAAGAGCTTTCAACCGTAACCATATATGATTTTACAAATAATATACACTGTAAATGTTGTGTATATTACTATCGTGGTTTAATATTACATATTTTTTTGTATACGAATTACTTAGAAAAAATGAATTGTTCACGCCACATATAAAACATACATGTCATCATACGCCTATTGAAATAGAAATGCACCCGTATCAGTGTCGACTTTTCGATGGAAAAAAACGTCGCACGTTAATTTGATGATTTACAAAACCAAACAGCGACGTATTTTAAGCGGGGAGCAGAGGAACTTTTTCAAATCATTGTGTAACATTCATAATACATATTTTCAAATAGATTAATAAATATACACATCAATGATAGAATTGACATTACGAGTTTTAACGATAAACTTCACTGTCATAGACGCAACCCATTCCGCTGATCTCGTACCACGGTCAAAGATCAAGAGCTCATTTCACTACACCAAGTTCACTTGGTGTGAACGAGAATAATTACTCAAAATACTCTATCTAAATGTAATAAAAACATTCTCGTGCTCCTCTAGCACGGGGTTTCTAAACCAGTGGCCCAGGGAGCATTCCCGGGGAAGCCGTGATGATCACTCGAGAGTCCGTGGGATAGTTCTGAACTTTTTGTTGGAATAATAAAATAGTTATGGATTTCAAATACTCATTCAGTCGCAAACAACCTGTAATTATAATATTCGTAATACAATGATAGTAACACGTTTTCAAGTCATCGTAAAAATATTAATTGATAACCGAAACGAAAGGGGATTTTCTTAAAAGGGTGGGTCTGGAAAAGTAAAGAGCTAACACAAGTTGAACTTCTCTCTATTTCTCAAATATACGTTACATTATCACAGGTAGCGTAATGTATCTGAACGGATATCGAAAATTATATCGAGATAAACAACGATGATGGTACAAACTGTTTTGTAGAATTTATCGTCGATTTCTTGGCTATTAGACATCGTATAAATTACCACCTCGAAAAAGTCACTCGAGTACGACTTCGATTCCTCAGATAATGTCGATAATCGGCCAGTAGCGGATCTGGAATTTTCTCATGGGAGAAGATATAAAATATTTTCGTACATAATAAGTATACCTATAAGCTTTATTCTACTAAATTTACCAAAGAAGATTTAATTTTCTTGATGACTGTGCCATTACTCTATGGCTGTATCTCGGGTCATGATAAAAGTACGAAGTATGTATCCGTAATCTGATATGAAGTTAAATAACAATGTATACAAACGTATCCTTCTTGGTTACGAAATAATGAAAACGAAATAATAAAAAAATAACTTTTATTTAAACTGTGCATGCAAAAATTGAATTGGTTGTAAAAAAATTGTTTTAACCCATGGCCATGGGGGGATCTATCACCCATATCCCACCACCCCGTAGATTCACCACTAAAACCGGCTAACCTAACGCTGATCCCTCCTGATGTAGAATAATCGAATGAAATCCAAATGCGCTCTTACGTTGTTCGTCTGGTTGTCAACAGTGTTCCCGTCCGGGTCTCCGGGATCGTCGGTGAGCTCGACGTCGTTCACCACATTGACAACGTTCGGCGGCAATGTGTCGCCGTCAATGGGCACATGTTCACCGGTCACACTGAGCGGCTCGGAACCGTGGGGCTACGGCGCGGCCGGTTACGGGGATCTCACACATCTGAACCTGCTCAACAACAACGGATCGTCGCCGTTCGCGCAGAACGCGTTCCACAACAACAACTTCGGCGCGCCGTACGCCACCCAGCCGCAAGACAGCCCGGGCCTGTTCTCGACCAGCATGCAATGCCTGGCCCGACAGGACATGATGGGCCCGTTGGATCAGTCGCCGCCCGATCGCGACACCTATCACAGCCATCAGCTCAACAAGCACGTAGTCGATTCATACGTGATGAGTCAGGACATGGCAGGACTCTTGCAACCGGACGCCGATTGCGACATCGTCGGAACCATGGGATACGAGGTGGAACACCAACATCAACAGCAACAGCAGCAGCAGCAACAGCAACAGCAACAGCAACAGCAGCAGCAGCAGCAAACACAACCGCAACAAAGGGAGGAAGACAGGGAGGAAGAGACCGCGGTAAAATTGGAGCCACCGTTCACGCCGCTGCCGCCTTTCATCAACTGACACAGGAGGTTTCAGTTTGACACGTACGAGTATCAAACTGAATTCGAATAAGATCCGATGATATCGTAATTTGCGTTGATTTTTATCGTAGAACTCGCATAAAATTCGACTGCAACGTCAATATTGTGGGACCCACACTCGTACAAAATATAAGGGCATACGAGTAATTTCGTCGCATCCATAAGGCAAACTTATGTCGGTAGACATTTTCGTGTAAATCGCTGCAAAATCAAGCTTTAATTCATATTTATGTCTGTATTATATATATATATATATTTTTTAAATTATAATTCTAAGAGTATTATTAAAGACTAAGCAAAATCGATTTGCACGTACACATATAAATTTAAATTAAATACATTAATAAGTTAGATACATACTAGAAGTATAAATTATTTTAATTATAATATAATAATAGCATATATTTTATACTTAACCGGAACTGTACTCGTTCAGCGTTAGGTACTCGTCCAACGAAAAATAGATTTTTGTATAAATTATAAAGATAATTTGAAATTGGTAAATATAACCGTTTCGTACATCTACATATATTAAATATTATATTTAAGGAATTATTAAGTACAACAAAATTGCATAACTCTTCCATAATAATTAGGTGTATGTAAATTATTATTGTGTAGGTACTATTAAACTATAAACGGTCTAGTGGACCATAAAAAAAACGTGTATTCTAGTTGTGCCTTATTAAATCTTAAGTAATAAACCTATAACGTGCATAACACGTGTGGTTTAATATATATATATATATATATATATTATAGATAATTGTTAAGCATTTTTAGGTAATTTTATGTGTATAATAAAATTATGTATTTTTTTATTTTTATGAGAAACAATGATTATTTTATATTTATCAACTAAACTTACATAATCTCCGGCTGTCCTTTGTTATATTGGTTGTACAATGTACTTATACCTTATCAATTAATTTCATATATGAATTTTTTTTTATTGACTTCATTGATAAAATAAATGTATACATACCTACATGAAACCCACTCAATTTAAGTTGATTTAAGATGATTGCATTTTTCGAGTGACAATCATATTTTGAATAAAGATTATTCGAATAAACAATGTCCAAAAAGTTCAAGCAACATTCTCGTATATTCACAACAATTTAATTTTAATATGAGGATAAGAATAATATGTGATCCTTAGAATGTACTTTGGATTTTTACACTTTTGGATCGGCTCCGTTTGTATACGATTAATACTATCCATATATTATTATGTCATAAATTAAACCGAAAATTTCGAAGCGTTTAAAATTCAATACCCCAGTTACATATTTTTATCAATTTTTTTATCGATATGATAACATTGCACATGCCAATATTATAAGTAGGAGCATTACATAAACGATTATGGTTCGGTTATCCTACATCTACATGTATTGATTAAAACAATTGTATAATATTTGAAGTACTTGTTTTTCGACAACCTTCAATCTAGATAAATATACGGTTTTCCTTTCAACAAATAAAACTACTTATACTCTCAGTTGTACACATAATATGATAATTAAAACACTCATGAAATTAGCTTATGAAAACTATTTGAATACTAGTAGTCTAATCATAAAGAAAAGATAATAAACCAACATAATTTAGTATGAATGATAATTACTTTTTTACTTAACTGGAATCAAAACTTTAATTTATTTTTATATTACTAGACATGGCCAAACACAAACATTTTCACATAATATTATTGGGCTTTTTATTGCTAAAAGGTAAGTGAATATACGTATCTATAAAAATATTTTGATATTTTACATTAATAAAACATTCAGTCACAACAGGAATTTTTTCACTAATAATTATGATTGAATGTTTTAACTATACTAATATTTTACTAGGATAAAAATAAAAATTCATTATACATTTTTAATAAATAATTTGAAAATATTTAAATTAATATCAATTGTTAAATAAATGTTACCATATTATCATTATTTTTTTTAGTTTCAAGTCAACTCATTTCTATACATTTCTAACTTATTTTTATATTTTTTTACTAACTTATTATAAATACATATATTTATACAAATATTTATATTTTATATTTAATAATTTATATATTGTTTTTAATAAAAAAATTACATAGATATTTAATGATGTAGGTTTTTCTGTTTATTATAAATTTAGTGTTAATTTCAGAATCACGGACTAATCCTTTAAAAAATGAAAACATATGTTCACCCTCCTTCCAGGGGAAATACGAGCAATTCCCATATATAGTAAGTAAATCTTTATTTATATGAAAAACAGATTATTTTACGATTTATTAATATTGAAAAGAATTGATACTTTATAGGTGATTATTAAAACGAAGTCAAAAGAAGAAACATTATGTCAAGGAACACTAATCAATTTAAATTGGGTATTAACCTCTGCACAATGCATGAAGTATTTAATTAGATGATATTTATTAATTAAAATATATACCGATACTATACTTGTTTCTTAACGTTGAAATAAAAAATAATATTTATTTTCATTTTCAGTAAAAATTACAATATTTTATTGAACGAAATTAATCTTACAATGGGAAATAAAACACAAAAAACTATTCGAAAACCAAAAAAAATTTTAGTGGAAAAAAATAATGATGTGGCATTTATCGAGGTGAAAAAAAATTAAAATAAATTGATTTTTCCTTGCTCGTTGATTAATTATCACTACTATTATTTAACAGATGGACAAACCCATTATTATCACGGATACTATAACACCTATTAAATTAGCCGCTGAAGATTTGTCGAAAGATATGAAATGCGTTGTGAATGGTTTCCAAAAAAATTCCAACGATGATTTATCTTTTATATATTGGACCAAGATCAGTATTTCAAAACAAACCTATGACAAAAGCGAATGGTATTTAGAAAACACAATTTGCCATAAACAACTTTTATGGTCTTTGCACCATGTAAGTCTTCGTTCAATTAGATATTTAGAGAAAATATATTGTTCTAATTTATTTTTAATCCATATAATTTAAAATACATGCATATATCATTATTATTAACTACCTATGAAAAGATTTTTTTTAAAGGGACAAATTTGGTTTAATAACTTCAAAAATATTTACTTTATATTAAACTAAATATTTTTGAAAATATACCCACACAGCATAGAATTATTTATTCAATATTTAATAAATATTTCAAAAAATTTAAATATTTGATAAATGTTCAAAATCCATTGATTGTACATTTTTAAAAATTGAATTAATTATTAGACATTTATACAAAAAATTAATTTGTCATTCATTTTTAAATAATTGTTTTTGAATGTTAATAAATTCTAATTACGTGTTTCAGGTAACATTTCAACATGAAAAATCAAATATTTATTCAATTTTGTATACATTTTTTATTTAAATATTTAAATTTCAATCTTATATATATATATATATATATATTGTTTCAATCGTTATGATTGATAAAAGCTGTGTTGGTACAATCTTATTTAAATTATTAATTTAATAATGTCCATTTCAAATAATTTTATTAGTATACATGTTTTTACGAAATTAATTATAAATACCGACTAAAAAACAAATAAATTTTTTAATATAATCCTTAAAGCATAAATTTAATTATTTCAATACCAAAACCTTATTTTTAGTTTTTAGTAAATGCAAATAATATATGTTCAGTTTATATTATGCTATATAGTGGTACTTACTATTTGTATGGATTCATATAGTTATTATTTTCTTGAAATAAATAAAATACAAAATTAACTTTGTACTAAATATTCAGTTTAATGAAAATACAATAATTTTTCAAAAAATTATTTACTATATAGTTCGTAAAAATATATTAATTTAATACACAATACATTTTTATGCTTGATTAAGATTTTTAATCAGTGTGTTAAAATATAACAGTCAATATAATAATTTATTTAATGAATACAATTTAACTACTAAATTGTTTTATTATAGATAACCAATAATGGCATCATATTGGTATGTGATCAATATTTATATGGTATCAACTTGATCAATAAACCGAGAGTGTTTAATAATATTTTAAACTACAAAAAATGGATGCAAAATATGATAGGCCAAGCAATTGCTGATGAAAACTACGAGAATACAAATAAAACGTTTATACGTAATAACTACTTACAGTTTTCTTCAACATCATCAAACGCAATCGGGAGAAAATCTAATGACCCAAGTTTAATACAAACAAAAGACACGATTAAAACAAAATCAAATGATACTGCTTCAGAACAAACGGAAGATATTAAAGAAATTGAATCTGATGAACCGACTTCGGAGAACACAGAAGACACGATAACAACAAAATCATATGACATTACTTCAGTACAAACGGAAGACATGAAAGAAACTGATTCTGAAGATCCGACTTCGGAGAACACAGAAGATACGATAACAACAAAATCGTATGATACTACTTCAGTACAAACGGAAGACATGAAAGAAACTGAATCTGAAGATCCTACTTCGAAGGATACAGAAGACACGATAACAACAAAATCGTATGATACTACTTCAGTACAAACGGATGACACAAAAAAAACTGAATTTGATGATCCGACTTCTGTACACACAGAATACATGTTAACAACAGAATCCGATGACCCAATGTCATCGTATACTGAAGACAAACAAACTTACGATACGGAAGATGTGAAATACAAAAGTACAGAAAAGGTCGAATCTACATTTTCAATAAGTTCAACTCAATCGTTAACCACAGAGGCATCGACTCAAAGGCCAGTACCACTGACAGAATTTACTGTAGTCGATGATACAAAAGAAACGGAGGACCCAATCACAGATACCACTATTACTCAACCTTCGACTGCAAGAACATCTACTTCAAGCGTATACCCTTCGACAACTATAACCAAAAAAGAAGACTATACAGATGAAACGGAAGACGACATTTTCTCAGACCAACCTAAATCTGATACCACAGTCACACAATCTCCAACTACGGAAATATCGACTTCAAGCTCGAACTATTCAACGACTATGACTGGGAAAATATTTGAAACTACCGAAACAGAAGATTGGAAGTTCACAGTGACTATTCATCATGATCCAACAGTATCTACAACTAGTCAACCATCAACTTCCTCAATCATTACAACTACTACTACTACTACTACTACAACTGATCAACCACTAACTACGATGAATACTGTAACTTCTAGTACTTCTACTACCACTAATCAACCATCGAAATCCACCGATTCCCAGATAACTTCGAAATTGAGTACAACCACTACTAGTATAACTGATAAGACAAATCCAACTACAATAGAAGTATCTGATAAACCTGTATATACTACCAAAAGTACAGAAGTAACACACGACATTCATAGTTCTAGTGAATCAACAACATCCGTATACGATCCTTCTTCAGA